TAGCAAAGAGCCTTGACCGAGTAGCTGAATAATTTTCTGAGGAAGAAAAGATGGCGCATGGTCGATCTTTGTGTAGAAATTTCCTCATCTTCAACACTTTCATATTGCTTTGGAGGTTGGCGAAAGCTGTTTTACCCCCTTTCCGATTGGTGCACTTGTGGAGAAGACATATGCTTCTTGTGCAGTTTCTTCGGCGTGACATGAGTCCATCTTTCAACTTCACTCGGCTTGACTGGCATGGTTTTGGAGCATGCCCCCAGCGATTGAGGTGAAGATTTTGAGTTGACAGAGCCGGAAGTGACGTCTTCTTCCGGGATTTTGTCTTTTTTGTCTTTTTGGGTCTCCTCTTCAGTGCGGTCCTCTTGGGTTTGTTGCCGTGAAGTTTGGCTGGTGTAGATGATGGTGCGTCTCCTTACCTTCAGTGGTCCTTTTGTGTTGACCTCTAAAGTTGCTTGGCGCTTCATCCTCGAAGGAATTAAGCTTTGAACATCGTTTTTTCCTGCCAGACTGTCGAGTTTTTCTTTCTTTGGCGTTGTCTTCCCATTTCTAGAAGGCTTCTTAGTTTCTTCAAGTTTGTCCGCAGCCGACCGTTGTGGGGGAGATCTAGCTGTGCCGCTTTGTTTCTTGGGTTTTGATAACCTTTCAAAGACAGATCTTTGCGGTGTTGGCGTCTTAAGCCTTTTGAAGACGGAAGTTCGGTCTCGACCACTGATGCGATCAAGTGCCGAATTTCTTCTAAGTTTTAAATGATTTAACCTGTCGAAGACTGAAGTTCGAGGGGCGAGTTTAGGCTCCTCTTTTGGCCTTGTGGCTTGTGGTCTTGGCTTCCTCATTTTTTTGTAGGTCACCGATGTCCACCCTTCCTTATTACCGGTAGATGCATCTTGGTTGCTTGCCCTTGGTGATGGTTGTGTAGGAAGTGCCGTGTGACTTGAACATTGACGGGAATGGTCATGCATGCTTTGGAGAGGCACATGATCGAGTGATCCAAACACGATAGTAGTAGTGTGTGCCGCAACCGTGTCTTCGAGGTCAAGCTCGATTTTCCCTTGTTGTGCTAGCTTCAGGATGAGATCTTTCAGTACGAAGCATTTTTCCGTTGGATGACTGATGAAACGGTGGAATTTACATTACCTTGGACTGTTAGTACGATTCATCTCTTCTGGCCGTCTACACTCAGGCAAACCAATCACCTTCTTTTCCAACAAGTCTTCTAACATGGCAGCCATATCAGAGTCGGGGAATGGATAAGTCTTCTCTTCAAGCTCCTTCAAAGTGCGTCTACGCATCTCTTGATCATGAAAAGCTTCAGTTTGAATCGTCTTGCCTCGTGTAGAGACTTTGACGGGAGCTGTGTTGACCGTCACTGCTTCTTTGGTGGATTTCCACACAGCCTTCTCCACCTTTGTTTCAAGAATTTTGTCGTTCTTGTAGTCGGCGATCGGTTCCTTCTTCCTATGATGGGCGATGCTTAACTTCATGTCATGGGCGCAGGTGGCTAGCTCTTCGAATGTCTGTGGTCTGATGCCTTGAAGGATGTATTACAAACCCCATTGCATGCCTTGGACGCACATCTCGATTGAAGAGGTCTCTGAGAGCCTGTCTTTGCAGTCAAGGCTTAGAGTGCGCCATCTGTTGATGTAGTCAATGACCGGCTCATCTTTCCATTGCTTCGTACTTGTGAGCTCCAGCATGCTTACAGTGCGGCGGGTGCTGTAGAAGTGGTTAAGGAATTCTCTTTCCAATTGCTCCCAGTTGTTGATGGACTCAGGCTCTAGGTCTGTGTACCACTCAAAGGCGTTTCCTTTCAGCGAGCGCACAAATTGCTTGGAGAGGTAGTCTCCCTCCGTCCCCGCGTTGTTGCAAGTTTCGACGAAATGTGCAACGTGCTGCTTTGGGTTTCCTTTTCCATCAAACTGCATGAACTTAGGTGGTTGATATCCCCTCGGCATCTTCAGGGCATCAATCTTCTTTGAATAAGGCTTTGAGTACAACTCGGAGGTGTTTGAGCTCCCTTCGTACTGTGCCTTGACGGTGCTGGCGATCATCTCTTGCAATTGCTGGATAGAAAGATATCCCATGAGTGCCGCTGCTTGGTCTGGCTTCGGCTTCATATCGATTTTCTCCACCTGAGGCTTATCTTCTTCGCCAACTTCTCTCTTTAGTGGATCATCCTCTGGGTCGGGGTTCTTGCCGTCCTGTGGCTCCAGTCGGCTGACGAGTGCAGCGATTTACAAGTTTTTTTCTTCAACAATCCGTGTTAACCTTGCGATCGCTTCATTCATTTGAGCCAGCTGTTCTTCAATGGAGGTAACGCCGATGGTCATGACTTGTGCAACCATCATACGCGACTCTTTAGGCATGCAGGGTGCTGATGAAAGACCCTGTTGGCCGCTTTGGGATGTCATCTGATATGCCTCAACGACATGTTTCGATGCCCCCAACGAGGTTAGGTTGATGACGGGCTTGCATCTTTGATGCTCCACTTGCTCCCTCAGCGGCATGTTGAGGAGCGATTGTGGCGCTAATGGATTGTCCGTCTGTGGCAGAAGAACTCAGGATCCTTCCCTTGGTGAGAACGGCTTGTCCTTTGCTTGATGTCATTGATTTTGGAAGTGTGCTTGAATTTCTTGAACGGAGAAAGAGATGAGAGGTAGAGATTGTCCCACCGGGCGTGCCAAATTTGTGAACACGAAATTTTCCTGAAATGAACAAGACAAGAACAACGTGCACAAAATAATATTTTATGATTTTTTTATTTATGGGGTTACGATCTCTAATTTGGTTCTCTGATTCGATCTCCGTAAGGTGTTGATTTATGGATGTTGTTGATCCAAGGGCCGTTGAGGCTTGATTTTGGATGAACGGTTGTGAGCTTCTTCAAGGGCCGTCGGGGCTTGATCTTGAAGAAATTTTATGTAGATTTGTTGATATTGTTGATCCAAATGGTCGTCGGAGCTTGATCTTAGGATGAACAGTTGTGTGGATTTGTTGATGTTGTTGATCCAAAGGGTCGTTGGGGCTTGATCTTAGGATGAACAGTTGTGTGGATTTGTTGATGTTGTTGATCCAAAGGGCCGTCGGGGCTTGATCTTAGGATGAACGGATGTGTGGATTTGTTGATGTTGTTGATCCAAAGGGCCGTTGGGGCTTGATCTTGAATTGGTGGAAGTTCTTCAAGGGCCTTTTGGGCTTGATCTTGAAGGAGGATTTGATGAAGAACGAAGAGGGCTTTCTTGATCCTTCGGGATTTGCTTTAGAGCTTTAGAGTTTCAAAGCTTCAAAGATTTAGGGGATTCTCTTCCAATTTGGGAGTAGAGAAATGTATTTTTGAATTGGTTGATGATACCTTGATGTAGAAGCCTATTTATAGACTTTGAGAATGAATCACCACCACAAAATATTTTTTTCTTTTCCAAGCACCATTGCCTAATTTCCCACTTAATACAATTTTAAACTTGAAGTGGTAATTTTATGGCCTAATTTTCCACTTAATATCATTTTAAACTTGATATGTGCATGCTTTGTCATTGCCCAAAATGAGAAGAAAACCTTGTTTTGATCTTCAATGGATTGAAATGTGCTTGCCTTGTCATTGCCCAAAATGAGAAGAAAAACTTGTGTAATCCTCCAAGGGTATTTCTTCTTATTTTGTTGAGTCACACACCATGTGTACAATTTGTATGACACGTGGCATATGCCATGTATGCCCTGACACGTCAAAATTTTAATGCGTTGGTGAACATTTATTTCACTGCAATTTCGATGTTTACAACTGTCATTGAAGATTTATCTTGAATCTGGACAGGTTTTTGTCAATTGTTATTTATGAAGGTTGTGACTCTTCGTGCTAGCGCCAAAATAAAGTTTTTAGAAGGTTGCTGACTGAAGATAAAAGGTAGCTTGCAATTTTTATTTTAATGAATCTTATTAAATGCATTTGAGTACCACAAAAATTTACTCAATTATTTTAGCAATTAGGAAAAATGGAAAATCACTCTCTTCACTAAAACCGTTATTCATTTACATTAACAACTTTTATTTTTCCAAATTGTAACAGAGAAGCATGTATATCATGAAAAATAAAAGACGGAAGTTCTGAAGTGACGACCAGGAAAGTTTAGAAGTGTAATATAGTTGTAAACAAGAATGTAAACCAGGGATGAAAAATGTTAATATAATTCTGATTTTAGATGACTCACTTGTGAATTTTATCTTAATTTGAGTAATTTTTTATCTGGGTGTACATTTACATCTAATTTGTTGTTTATCTGGTGAAAAAAAAGAAGATGCCTTTATACTTTTTTATGAGACTTAATTTTGAGTTTTGAATTTGAGTTCTCATGCAAGAAGAAAGGTCACTTGAGTTTTGAGTTCCCATATATTTTCATTGTTTCATTTTATACATCTATTGGAGGATTGGAAGGGATTGGGAGGCAGATGAGTGAGACTTCTGATGGTTACACATAAATAAATGGTCTCTCACATCTTGAACCAGATTACTCTGGGTTTGGCAGGTATGAATGATTCCAGCCTTTTTTTAGAGGAACTATGCTTTCCATATCAATCAGAATATTTTGTTATTAGAAGCAAGTACATGGGGTTTGGCAGGTGTGAATGAAAAGTCACATTTGGTCGTATCATTATGTGGAAGTAATATTTTCCGATGAGGTGCAAACCAAGACACGGTTTAACTCCGAGATTCTTTGCAACCATTTCAAGCCGATCAAGATAAAGAAAAATGTTATAAAAGCGTCTTTACGTGGTCTTCCTAACATTATTCTTTTTTATATTTAAGATGTACTGTTTTCTTAATTTGTAACTCGGAATTTGCGTTTCTAATGAGTAAGATGTGCTATGGCAGTCAGTAGTCCGCAGACATAAACACAACTGATTTATCTGGTCTTATGTAATTCCATTTATTACCGGAGGATATACATAATAGCTCAATACTCTACATATAGGGTAGTGATCGATCAGATCAAACAAATTCAACTAGATCAAGTTGGTTTTTGGTTTGTAAGCCAAGCAACATCCTCAGCTTTAAGAAAATGGCAGATGGGGGGAACGGTTCCTCGCTCAACGTTGTTCTCTTTGAAGGCATAATGATTTGGGTTCCATTGAGATGTGTCTTGATGGCAGGCTGCTACGGCTTTGGCTTTCGACCCGTCAGCTCCTTGCAGAGGCACCACACAAGTCGTCGTTTTTTCAATTGAATGGCAGTAGAAGACGACATGCACATAATTCATCTTATGACACACCGTGATGTTGCTGGCTGCCAGCCTCTTCATTCCATTTGCGGTTATTGTGAACTTCTGCATCGGGGCAGCTCCTTGTTCCACCTCCGTTGCGATTGCAAGAACATTTCTTGATCCCAGCGTGGAGGTGGCAAACTCGATCATCGACTCTAACGAGGTGGCACATTGTTTGCTTCGTCTCTCGCGCCTTGACTTTCATAATTTTGAATGGTTACCTTAATCAAGTCGGCTTCATTAGACCCCGGTTTCACTGATAATTTATCCAGAATTTTTGGCAGTTGGCTTGAACTGAAGGGGATCGACTCTACAGTTTTTCGGGACAGGAAAGGTGGTACTAGAATTTCCACTTCCAGCTAAGCGGTAATTGATTACCCTGCTAGGATGAAGGTCATTCTCCAAGAAGAAAACTCTTCGGTTTCGGTTGACTTCAGCTTGTGTTTCGGCTTCAGCGGGAGCGTCCTCTGCAACATCATTCTGGAAACTAAACGGAGTGTTCTCGTCGCCGACACCGGTTGAATATTGTTGGTATACCATGGGTCCAGCCCATGATGAAAGACATTAAAGGTCCAACCTATTATAAAGGATGGATGCTAGAAAATTCTAGCATCTTATCAAATGCCAAGGAACTAAAAAAATCTGGTCTAAATATGCATGTCGGTGGAGTGCATGCATAAGCTAGAAAGTTCTAGCTGTTTGAATAATATTGAAGCTGTCATGCAAGCCTAAGTCGGTGGGCTTATGTATAAGTCGGCAAAACTCAATTATAAATAGGGGTGCATGTATCTATCATGAGATGTGAAAAAACGAAGTAAGAGTGTTCCACTCCAAGAGTGAGGGTTATAAGAGTTGTTCCACTTCAAGTTTAAGAGTGAGAGTGTTCCACTACACATTGTGTGTGAGTGAAGTTTAGAGTGATAGAAAGTGTGTGTTATACTTTCTTGTATTCATTAAGCATTGTCTTTGGCTTGGTAAGACTGCTCTTGTTGTACTAATCTTTTTCATATAGTGAAGATTGATCCTTGTTTTGTGAACGTATGCATAAATTGCCGAACCACATAAATTCTTGGTGTCCATTTTCTACTTTACCTTGTGCATTCTTTATCTTGTAGTACCGACATTCCTAACAAGTGGTATCAGAGCCCGGTTGGCTCTTACTACGAGATGGAAGGAAGTGGCACAATGATCAAACTCACCAACTTCAATTGGGTAACATGGAAGCCAAGGATGGAGGACATTCTCTATTGCAAGGATCTGCATGAGCCAATTGAAGGAGATGCCGCTAAACCCGAGAGCATGTCCGATGCCGAGTGGAAGAAGATGAATCGCAAGGCAATTGGCACAATTAGACAATGGGTGGATGATAGTGTTTTTCACCATGTGTCTAATGAAACCAATGCCCGCTAGTTTTGGAAGAAGCTTGAGTCTTTGTTTGAGAAGAAGACCAAGCCAAGAAAGCCTTCTTGATCAAAGAGCTCATCAATGTGAAGTACAAGAATGGTTTAAGTGTAGCAGAACACTTGAACAATTTCCAGAATATCATCAACCAGTTGGCTACTATGAAAATGACGATCGAAGAGCTACAGGCGCTCTTGTTACTTGGATCCTTGCTAGACAGTTGGGAGACCTTTGTAGTGAGTATAAGTAACTCTGCTTCTAATGGTGTTCTTACTCTTGATAATGTTAAAAATAGCATGCTCAATGAAGAAACAAGGAGAAAGACTTCTGGCATAGATAGCAGCCAAGTATTTGTCACAGAGAACTGCGGAAGAAGCAAGAGTAGAGGGCCTAAAGGTCATGGCAAGAATCCTAGCCGATCCAAGTCAAGGTTCAAGGGTACATGCCACCATTGTGGCAAAGAAGGCAATATGAAGAAAAATTGTCGAGTTTGGAAGAGAGAGCAAATGGAAGGAAACAATCAGAAGAAAGATGATACTGGCAATACCATCGCTGTCATATGTGGTGATGTACCAGAAATATTGTATGTTAGTGAATGTCTGCATATGGGCAACTCTGACAAAGATATTGAATGGATCTTCCTTCCATGCTACGTCCAAACGGGAGTTCTTCAGTACATACAAAGAAGGTGACTTTGGCATAGTGAAAATGGGGAATGAAAACTATTCCAAAATTCTTGGAATTGGTGATATCTGCCTAAGAACTAATCTCGGCTGCCAATTGATGTTGAAAGATGTGAGACATATTCCTGATATACGTCTCAATCTGATATCCATCGGTACCCTTGATCGACAATGATATTATCACCATATTGGCGAAGGAAAATTGAAGCTTACTAAAGGCTTAATGGTGGTAGCAAGAGCACAACTTTGTTGTACGTTGTACCGGTCAAATGCCAAAGTTTTGAAAGGTGAGTTGAATGCTGTGGAGGACTCATCTCTAGACTTGTGGCATAAGAGGCTAGGCCACATGAGCGAGAAAGGCCTATAAGTTTTGGCAAAGAAGTTTCACATTCCCTTTGCCAAAGGTACGTCGTTAAACTCCTGTGAGCACTGTTTATTCGGAAAACAAAGAAGAATTAGTTTTTCTGTTCGATCTACAAAGAAAGGAAATTTGTTAAATCTTGTTTATTCAGATGTGTGTGGTCCCATGAAAGTTGAGTCACTTGGAAGAAATAAATATTTTGTTACTTATATTGATGATGTTTCACGAAAGGTCTGGGTGCTTTTGTTAAAATCCAAAGACCAGGTGCTTCAAACATTCTAGGAGTTCCATGCCATGGTGGAGAGGGAAATTGGAAAACCTCTCAAGTGCCTTCGTAGCGACAACGGCGGCGAGTACACATCTCACCAGTTTAGAGAGTATTGTGTGAAACATGGCATACGCCATGAGAAGACAGTTCCTGGAACTCCACAATATAACGGTGTTGTTGAAAGAATGAACCGAACCATCATAGAGAAAGTCAGGTGTATGCTGAGGACTGCAAAGTTATCTAAGCAGTTCTAGGGTGAAGCTGTAAGGACATCCTACTATTTGATTAACCGATCTCCATCAGTACCATTAGGTCTTGATGTTCCGGAGAGAGTATGAACTGGTAATGATGTGTCTTACTCTTATCTGAAGGTGTTTGGCTGCAAAGCTTTTGTGTATATGCCCAAAGAGCAGAGATCGAAGATAGACTACAAAGTTACACCGTGCATCTTTCTTGGTTATGGGGGTGAATATTTTGGTTACAGATTATGAGACCTATACCAGAAGAAGTTTATCCGAAGTAGAGACGTGGTCTTTTATGAAGACCAAACAATTGGGGATTCGGATAAAGAGGCACAACCAGATGGCACAGTCAGAGGAGTTGATCCATTAGCTTCAGAAGAAGAAAGTCACGATGACATCCCTAAAGCAGCTGCCAATGAAGTGCCTGCAGAACCAGATAATGCTGATCAGGGGGAGCCTAATCAAGATGTGCCAGACCATGAGATTGCTACTTAGAAGGAGCCTAGTCAAAAAGAGCAGATTCAAGAGGAACCTAATCAGGGGGAGCCTCCAGCCCCGCAAGAGAATGAAAACCAGGTCAGAAGATCCAACAGAAGTCGAAGACCGTCTACCAAGTATTCCTCATCAGAGTATATCATGTTGACTAATTATGGAGAGCCCAAAACATATGAGGAGGCCATAGCTCATAACGACAGTGACAAATGGATGAAGGCAATGGAGTTGGAGATGGATTCCTTATCAAAGAATGATACCTATGAGCTGGTGGAGCTTCCAAAGGGAAGAAAAGTGTTGAAAAAAAATGGGTGTTCAAATTGAAAAGGGATGACAACATGACAAGGTACAAGACTCGTTTGGTTGTCAAAGGTTTTGGTTAAAAGAAAGGACTTGACTTTGATGAGATTTTTTCACCAGTGGTGAAGATGACTTCCATTCGAGTTATCCTTGGTATGGCAGCAAGCATGGATCTTGAGCTCGAGCAGTTAGACGTTAAAACTGCATTTCTCCATGGCAATTTAGAAGATGAGATATATATGGAGAAACCCAAAGGCTTTGAAGTAAAAGGTAAAGAAAATTTGGTGTGCAAGCTAAAGAAAAGCTTATATGGTCTTAAGCAGGCTCCGAGACAGTGGAATAAAAAGTTCAACTCATTCATGGTGAGTAATGGGTACAAGAGAACTCATGCTGACTCTTGTGTCTATATCAAACAATTTTCTGGAGGTAAATTCATCATCTTATTGCTTTATGTTGATGACATGTTGATTGTCGGTCAAGATGCTTCTATGATTAAAAGCTCAAAGAAGAGTTAACTAAGTCCTTTGACATGAAGGATTTAGGGCCAACCAAGCAGATGTTGGGCATGGAGATAATACGTGACAGAAAATCCAAGAAGTTGTGGCTGTCACAAGAAAAGTATGTTGAACGGGTGCTTGAAAGGTTTAACATGAAAGCAGCCAAATCGGTAAGCTCACCTTTAGCCAATCATATCAAGTTGAGCACAGAGTCGTGTCAAAAAACATATGAAGAAAAAGAGAAAATGGCAGTTGTTCCCTACTCTTCAGCAGTAGGAAGTATCATGTATGCAATGGTGTGCACACGGCCAGATATTGCTTATGCAGTAGGTGTGGTAAGCAGGTTTCTATCTAATCTAGGGAAAGACCATTGGGAAGCTGTTAAGTGGATTCTTAGATATTTGAAGGGGACTCCTAAGATGTGCTTGTGCTTTGGCGGTTCCAAACTAATCTTGGAAGGATTTACAGATGCTGACATGGGAGGTGACTTAGATGGTAGAAAATCTACGTCTGGGTACTTGTTTACTTTTGCAGGGGGAGCGTGTCTTGGCAATCCAAGTTGCAAAAGTGTGTTGCTTTGTCCACAACCGAGGTTGAATACATAGCCGCTACAGAAGCATGCAAGGATTTATTATGGCTGAAGCGGTTTCTCCAAGAGTTGGGTTTGAAACAGAGTGATTATGGTGTTTATTGTGATAGTTAAAGTGCTCTGGATTTGAGCAAGAATACTACATATCATTCGTTATCATTGGATTAGAGACGCTATCGAGAACAAGTTGCTACAGCTGAAGAAGATTCATACCGATAATAATTCTTCGGACATGTTGACAAAGGTAGTCACAAAATCAAAGTTGGAATTCTGCATTAAGGCTGCTAGGATGGACTCTAGGTAACTTGGAGTCATGA